AAGCAAAAGCCTCCAAGAGGGCGCTAAGGATAGTTCACATTTCTGGCAGAGAAGCCGGGAGTCGAGTTTGCCAGGCAGTCTGAGAGAGGAGCAAGGAGGATGGCAATGGCAGCTCTGTCGCCATAGCACCCATCTCCTTGGGCCTCAGAGGCAGTTGAGCAGCTGCAGGTGAGTCTGGGGTGCCTCTTTGTGGTGGGCAACTGCCTGTCTGCATGGGGCATTGGTCCTCAGGCAACCAGGACAGAGGAGCACCATGTCTGCCAGCCTCAGTGGGGAGCACGGTTGCAGGTGAGCAGACCTGCTGTGCCCAGAGATGTATGAGCATGCAAGGGCCTCTGCAGCATGTGGATGTTGGAAACGGGTGGCATCAATGACATCAATAGTCCCAGAGCTGTTGGGTGGGGGGCAGGCCAGGAGGGCCCTGTGCTTCAGACCCTGTCATGCCTGCATTTTACTCAGTAGTCTACAGATCACAGGGGATGTTCTTGTCTGACCAGAAGTGAAAAAGTATTTTCTCAGAAGAGCTCTTAAACCCCTCCTTGGCAAACAGCACTGTTTTGCTCCTCTCCCATCACTTGCCTATCTTACCCAACATGAGACCATGGTGCAATGGGCATGTATAGGGCTAACAGAACCATACCATCCTCCCAGTGCTGGTCCATGCACAGGACATCGTTAAGCCACCTCTGCTGTGACCAGAATTGCACCCCCTTGACCCAGTAACACCTGTGCAGCACACCCAGAGGCAGGACTGAGACACTCCTGCTCTACTTGCAAGGGGAGTCCCAAGACCTCAGTGACACAAGGCTCAGAGCATATCTTGGGAAGGGTGCCATGAAACACAAGAACCAAGAGGTGTCCCCCACTTCGTGTTTTGCTGCAGGCATCCCCACAGCAGGCTCTACCATGGTATCAAGAGAGCATGTGGGTACCAGGATGGGTCTGCTGCGACAGAGGTGCACCAGGCACTTGCTCTGCGCGCTGAGCCTCCTCAAAGCTGCCGGGACCTTGGCCTTGATGCTTTATGCACTGCTGTGGGAAGCAGGGAATCTGGTCAACCTCCCTGACAAGCGCATTGGCTTTTACAACTTCTGCCTGTGGGATGAGACAGCCCGGGAGCTGCAGTGCCTGGACTACAAGCATCTGCAGGTGACGGGCATCAGCCTACCAGGAGTGGCGCTAGCCAGGGTTTGTGTGGATACCTGCCTCGTCTTCAGCATCTTCTACCCCATTTTTTTCACACATGCAAAGTGCACAGAGGAAAAAGGTGGCTGGAAGATGATCCTCATCATACTCATCACCTAGACAACAATCCTGTCTGGAGGCCTGGGTATGTTTCTTTTCCAAACCTCACAGTGGATTCACCCCTGTGACTTCACTGGGGGCTTCCTGGCACTGCTTGGGACTCAGGCTCTGCTACTGCTCCACATTCTCACTGCCACCATGTACCTCAGCTGGGCCAAGCACACACACACCCATGTCAAAGCCATTCAACAGAAGACCCTGTCCATTGAGATTTGACAGTGAAGAATATGCAAGAGCTATTGATAACCTGATTTAAAACACAACTCCTGCTATAGCTTTAGCCACTGGCAGGAATTCGATCCCTAGTCCATAGGCCCATGTTCAGCCATGCTCTGACACACGGCCCTGTGCAGCAATCCTGCAGCGAGCCCGCAGCACACACCAACACCCACCATGCGGCACAGAAGCTTCCCAGGAACAGCAGCATGTAACACACACCGCTTGAGCTGGGACACAGGACCAAGGTGATGGCATTTCTGGCTCTGAGCCACAGGACAGGGAAGGGGACAGACCAGAACCAGCACACAGTAGACACAGCCCTCTGCTTCTATCTTGCCTAAGTACAGGCAGGCAGAGAAGCAAACAGGCTTCCTTTCTTGGAGTTGTCCAAAGACACTGCTCCTTCTCCACCTCCTGGACTGACCAGGGATGCCTGTGAGGAATTGAGACCTCAGGAGCTGTGGGTTCCATACTGGCATCACAGCAGTGTCAGCCCCAGAGACGCATAGGAAACAGTCTCTTCAGGAACACCTGTGCTTCGCCTCCTGGAATAGCACCTGGAGTGACTCTAGTTCATTAGGGTGAAGTGGCTCACAGCCAACCCCAGCAGCTGCAGCACACCCAGAGGGGCAGCTTAACAACACAGCCTTAACGAGGAGGGTTTCCATGAGTGTGCTGGGTTCAGCTACAGCAGTCATTT